TTTCACCGATAACTCTCAGAAGGTCTCGCGTGCTTCCCCGATTGTGGGAAAACGCCCCACGGGCCGGCAGGCCCCTTAGGGGCGGAACGGGCGGGCCAGAGCCCAGCCCCTTGCATCTCAAAGTAAGACAACCATAAGGTAAGCTGCACTGAATGCTATCATAATTTATTGCATCCTAAACGAAGGTTACAAACGAAAGGTAAGCTGCATTGAATGCCGCGCTGCAGGGACCAGACATTGCAAGACGAGATAAAACGACTAATGATGCTTGACGATTTCGCGCTGCTATCACAAGGAATACAAGGGGTCGGCGGCTGTGGCGTAAGCCTGTAGAATCATGTTCCGGGAGAGGCTTCCGTGAACATGATTTCGAACGGGGCCCTCTTTGGGCCTCCCTGAGGCCGTCTTGGGGGCCTCCTGATCCGGTTTCGGGGCCTCTTGGGCCGTCTTGGGGGGTTCTGTGAGCCCCACAGGCCGACCGACCCTTTTGGGCCGTCTGGAGCCCTCTTGGGTCTCCCTTGGGCTGTCTTGGGGCTCATCAGGGCACTGTGAAGACGAAGCCAGCGAGTATGCTGAAAACGTACGATTTACGAAGGAACTTTGCCCATGTTTGCCTCTTGAAGGCCCTCTCGGGGCCCTCTTCGGCCATCTTCAAGCCATCTCGGGCCCTCTGCGGCTTCGCTGAGGCTGTCTTGTGGGCCTCTTGGGCGTCCTCGGAACCTGGAAATCATGCTTCTGGAGATGCTTCCGGGAACATGATTTCGAACGGGGCCCTCTTTGGGCCTCCCTGAGGCCGTCTTGGGGGCCTCCTGGGCCGGCTTTGGGCCTCTTGGGCCGTCTCGGGGGTTCCGTGAGCCCCACAGGACGACCCTTTTTTTTCTGTTCCTTCAGTCTATGGATACCGCGTGGATCGGCCGCGTGAGCAACACAATCACAATGGTGGCTGCTAGGCGCTGAGTCAGAACACGGCCTAAGGTGCTCGCGCCAAGGCGTCGCTCGCTGCCACAGCTGGCCGAGCGAGGGGCCAAGAAGGAGAGGACAGGCAGGCCGGTCGCAGAGTCGCGTGACGCCCGGGCGCGTGCCCGAGGCGGCCGCGTCGCCGGTAGGCTCTCCGCACAGGGGTCTCCCGCACATCCACCTGCCACGATGGGGGCCCAGGGAGTAAGACAGGCAGGCCGGTCGCAGAGTCGCGTGACGCCCGGGCGCGTGCGGAGATTCGGAAGGCCAAGAACGCCGGAGCTCTTGGAAAGCTGGACAGTCTGGGCACTCTGAGGGTGTCGTGCAACGTTCAGTAAACAAAGCAAAGCAATAAAACAAAAGAGGCTGAGGCCCCACCCTGCTGACGCCCTCACCCAACAGCTCGGCCGCCGTCTCGGCGCAGGGAGCCCTCGCGAGTGGGAGCGTTGGTCCACGCCTGAGCTCGGTCATTTGGAGACGTCCTGACAAGGTTGGAACCCACCAAGATCACGATCTCTTGCTCCTCTCAACGTCGCTCGTCTCTGATGGCCCTGCTCGCCTTGACTTGTCCCTTCCGGCAAGCTCACGCCGCGACTTCGGCGCTGGTTTCGGACCCCGCGCGAATCGTCCTCGAGCCGTCGCGGCTGTCTGGTTGGAGATTTCCAAAGGGGGTGCGGGCAGAGGGGGTCTGGGCCGACCCCCATGCGTTCGACCCCTTCTCCGAGGGAGGAGGGAGAGGGAGAGGGAGAGGGAGAGGGAGAGGATGATGATGATGATGATGATGATGATTATAATGATGATGATGATTATAATGATGATGATGATGATGATGATGATGATGATCATGATGATGATGATGATGATGATGATGATGATGATGATGATGATGATGATGATGACGAGGAGGAGGAGGAGGGGAGGGGGAGGGGGAGGGGGAGGGGGGAGGACAAGCTAGGTGCGCTCGCGTCATATCTGACGTCCTACCCCTCCCTCCCATCCCTTACCATGGCGCTGATTTTCTCTATCCGCGGACGCGTGTCGTAGCGGACCTGTGGCTCCGCGCGCGCGTGCGTAGTGGGTGGTGGTGCACGTGCGTGCGTGCGTGCGTGTGTGCGTGGTTGTCGTGGTGGTGGTGGTGGTGGTGGTGGTGGTGGTGGTGGTGGTGGTGGTGGTGGTGGTGGTGGTGGTGGTGTGGTGGTGGTGCTGGTGCTGGTGTGGTGGTGCTGGTGGTGCTGGTGGTGGTGGTGGTGGTGGGTGGTGGTGGTGGGTGGTGGTGGGTGGTGGGTGGTGGTGGTGGTGGTGGTGGTGGTGGTGGTGGTGGTGGTGGTGGTGGCGGTGCGGCGCGGTGGTGGCGGGCGGATGGGCGCGCGAGAAAAAGGCCCGCGCTGGGGCGAGAACGCCATCCTGAACGACGGAGGCCAAACACCGATCCGAAAATGAGGCCCACGCTGCAGCGGGAGCACGATTCGGAACGATTCGGGAGCAGAAATGAGGCCGGCGCCTCAACGAGAGCAGCATTTTGGGAACAAATGACGCCGGCGCCTCAGCGAGAGTCGTTTCCCGGGATTTCTCGGGCATCCTGTGTGTAAAAAAACAATACGCGGAGGGTGCGCGGCTATCACCCGGACGCCATCAGGGGAAGGATTCGGGAGCAGAAATGAGGCCGGCGCCTCAACGAGAGCAGCATTTTGGGAAAAAATGACGCCGGCGCGAGAGCAGCATTTTGACAAAAAATGACGCCGGCGCCTCAGCGAGAGTCGTTTCCCGGGATTTTTCGGGCATCCTGTGTAAAAAACAATACGCGGAGGGTGCGCGGCTATCACCCGGACGCCATCAGGGGAAGAGGGAGAGTATATTCATATTGAGTAATTGTGGAGTAGGAGGGGGATGGAGAGGGGAGGAGGAGGAGGAGGAGGACCAGTGTAAACCCCAAGACGCATTTACGATGTTGAAAGAAACCGTCCGTCCCAGTTCCCCTTTCAGATGTGCCTACAAGAAGATATCAATCCCAATGCGGGGAATGCCCCATTGGACGACAGCGGCCTGAGAATGCCCGATCGTCCCAGAACACGATTCCACGGACTTCAACACTGCGAATCAACCTGACTGTTGCGTGTTGACAATCCTGAATCGTGCCATGACGCCGTTCCCGGAACTCCAACACAGCGAAGCGACGTTACTATCGAGTCCCGGCAATCCTAAAACGTGCCAGGATACCATCCCTGGGTTAAGTCATGCGAATCCTTGAAACTGGCGCGGCACTCAGGCGAGAACCCATTTTGAAAACTCCACCCTCCATCAGTGAAACTGCTGCAAACGTTTTTGACACACGTGCGCGGCGCCAAAGCGAGAACGACATATTGAAAACGGCCCGCCCTCTGACAGTGAAACTGTTGGAATGTCAAGCTTGAGAATCAAGAAGCGGTGAGGAAGTCTCAGGCGATCCACCCAACCCGCCTTTCTGACACGTCGGGGGATGCGACACGTCTGGGGGTGCGACCGACACGTCCAGCGTTGTACGGATAGATGGAGGAGGAGGGGAGGAGGGGAAGAGGGAGGGGAGGAGGGGAAGAGAGAGGGGAGGAGGGAGGGAAGGGGGAAGGGGAGGGGGAGGGGGAGGGGGAGGAGGAGGAGGAGGAGGAGGAGGAGGAGGAGGAGGAGGAGGAGGACAAGGAGGAGGAGGAGGAGGAAAAGGAGGAGAATGTGAGGAGGAGCAGGAAAAGGAGGAGGAAGAGGAAGAGGAGGAGGAGGAAGAGGGGAGAAGGGAGAGGGCGAAGTGAGGAAGGAGAGGAGGAGGACAAGGAGGAGGAGGAAAAGGAGGAGGGAGAGGAGGAGGAGGACCAGTGTAAACCCAAGAGTCATCCACGATGTTGGGAAGCTCCTTCTTCATAGGCCCCATACAACGGTTCATTCCCATTCCCATTGAGGGAACCACCTCGTTGGAAGACAACCGTTTGAAGACATTGAGGCATGCCTAAACATTGTTCTCGTGATTTCAACGCCACGTATCAACCTGACTGCTGCGTCCTGGAGATCTGGAATCGTGCCAGAACGCCGTTTTTGGGACTTCAACACCGCGAATCAGCATAACTATTGCACCCGCACAATTCTGAATTCTTCCACAACACCATTACAAGTACGCTGATCATGATGGGAATCCGCGAAGCTCTGTACATGTTTAAGCGAATGTGCGCGGCGCTCAAGCGAGACCCATTGAAAACCAGCCGCCCTCAATCCGTCAAACTTTTACAATTATTTGAAACGAATGTGCGCGGCACTCAGGCGATATCCACAGTTTGAAAACCACCCGCCCTCAATTCGTGAAGCTCCTGCATTTGTTTGCAACATGTGCGCAGCGATGAAGCGAGATCTACATTTCGAAAAACACCCACCTTCAATCCGCAAATCTCTTGCAATTTGTTACAACGAATGTGCGCGGCACTAAGGCGAGAACCACATTGTGAAAACCACCAGCCATCAATCCGTGAAACTCTTGCACGTTGTACAACGAATGTGCGCCGCGCTATGGCCGCTATGGCGAGAACCACATTTTGAAAACCACCCGCCCTCAATCCGTGAAGCCCTTGCAATTTTTTTACAAGGAATGTGCGCGGCGCTATAGCGAAAACCACATGTTGAAAACCACCCGCCCCCAACCGTGAAACTCCTGCAATGTTTTAAAACAAATGCGCGCGGCGCTAAGGCGGGAAGTACATTTCGAAAACCACCCGCCGTCCATCTGTGAAGATGCTGCTGTGTTGTAAGCTTCAGAGTCATGAGTGGCGAGGAGGTCTCAGGCGAGACGCCTGGCCCGCCATGAAAATTCGCCACGGGGTGCGACAGGGGGCAGGTACTTGAAAGGAAAACGAACGGAGGAGGCGGAGGAGGCAGGAAGAACACTACCGCACGCAGGAGGAGGAGGAGGAGGAGGAGGAGGAGGAGGTGGAAGAAGAGGAAGAGGAGGAGGAGGAGGAAGAGGAGGAGGAGGAGGAGGAAGACAGGGCGGCCCTGCCGCACGCCGACGGGGCGGGGCCCGGCCCCTCCGCGGGCGAGGCGTCGTACAGGCTCCGCCGCAGGTCGACGTACTCCGCCCGCTTCCGCTGCAGCGCGGCGGCGGCCCGCTCGCGGGTGAGCGGCCTGCCCACGGGGGGGCTGAGGAGGAGGAGGAGGACGAGGAGGAAGAGGATGAGGAGGAGGATGAGGATTTTTTTTTAACATCAACGGCAAGCTACCCCCTCATACTCACAGGTGGTGGGGTGAGGCCACCTGTAGCGTGAGTGCACCTGCCGTGAAGCCCACCTCTAGCATGAACCCGAAGAAGACCTCAACGGACAGGAGCACGCTCGGCATCATGAAGAGCTGCCAGAGTCGTCCCAATCCTCGTCGAACAAACGGCTGAGACACGAACTGTGCCACGATGCACGGCAGCGCGGACAGGCTGCCACATCCGCTCCACGAGGAATGGGCATCCCACATGCCCTGCATGAGCACCTCCCTGGCCCGCGTCGCCGACGAACGAGGGTACCATCGCAACGGGCGCAACCAGGATCTGAACCACTGACCTCGAGCAGCCACGGCGGTACATCAGGCTGCCGCCGCACGAGGCCCGCCTCGCGGATCGCCTTGTCTCTGCCGTCGAAGGGGGAGGATGAGGATACAGCCGAAACCTGCGCGCTGCCGAGCTCCACGTCCACACCCCCACAGGCGACAGGAGCGGCAGGCTCACCCAGAGGAGAAACGACTTGAGAATGAACAAGTACTTCGCCTGACCCGACAGAGCGGCCAAGAGGAAGATCATGAGCAGCCAGTGCCGGAGAGACGCCCTCAACGACCTCCTGCTGCGTGCCGTCTTCCACCGAGCGCACATCGACGACAACGGCGTTGGAGTCGCTGCTGGGCACCGCAACGGGCCCCCCAGGTGCGACGAGTACGGCTTCCGCAGCGTTCGACTCCTCCACGGCCGCCTCGGACACAGCTGTACCAGGGCGCCTGTCCCCGCCGCAACTGCCGTCGACAATCACCGACTCAGACAGGACGGGCAGCTGCTGCAGATCGGTCAGCAAAGTGGCGACGTCGCACGACCAGCGGGCGAGGAAGTGTTGGTCCGCACCTGGCAAGAAACAGGAGGCATCCGCGTTCCACTCCGTCGGGCCCACGACCAGCGGCTCGAGCACGGGCAGCAAGCGCGAAGGCTCGGCGTAGCAGACCTCGATATCCTTCTGCACTGGCTGTGCGGCCAGAGCATGCTCACGACGACACTCCTGGGCGGCCTGCCGAGGGCCGAGGCGCGGACCGCGCCGCGCCGCGCGCAGCTGGCGCGGACTGGCGCGCGCCACGTCCACCCCAGAGGCCTCGGCGTGGAGGGCCACGTCCCTGCGCAGCTTGTCCGCGGGCACGGGATGCTGCCCCCGCAGCAGCGAGGCGAGAGCAGGTGCCACGGCGACCAGCCGCTGGACCACCTCCTCGTCTCCGAGCGTTTGCAGGAGCGCCACGTGCTCCTCGCGGGCCGAGGCGAGCTCCCGCGTGAGCCGCTGGATCAGCGCGTCGGCAGACGCCCGAGCACCAGCAGCGCCGCGAAGGCGCCGTCGCCCCCCTCCGTCTCCAGTCGCTGCGCACGCCGCGGACGGGGCGGCGGCAGCGTCCCGCGCCATCATGGGTCCCGCGCGCCGAAAACGGGCGGAACACCTGGCCTTGAGCCAAAATGGCTACGGAGGAGGATGAGGAGGAGGAGGAGGAGGAAGAGGAGGAGGAAGAGGAAAAAGAGGAGGAGGAGGATCAGGGGGAGGAGGAAAAAGAGGGGGAGGAGGAGATAACTTTTAAGGAGGCCGCGTTGGGAGGAGGAGGAGGATGAGGAGGATGAGGACGAAAAACTCAGGAACACACCAGGAACCATGAGGAACTACTGAGCTACTGCAGCGAGACGCTGTCTCAGAGGAGGGGGAGGAGGAGGAGGAGGAGCAAGAGGAGGAGGAAGAAGAGGAGGAAGAGGAGGAGGTATTTAGAAAAGGAGGAGGAGGAGGAGGAGGAGGAGGAGGAGGAAAACGAACAAGAGGAGGAGGAGGAGGAGGAGGAGGAGGAGAAGGAGGAAGGGGACGAGGAGGAGGAGGAGGAGGAAGAGGAGGAGGAAAACGAACACGAGGAGGATACGGTTACAAGTTACGCTTGCGGCTTCCCTCGCGCGGACGCCTGGAGGGGCGGGGTCAGAGCACCGTAGCGCTGATTGGGCCGCCTCGCCCTGCCGACACACCTCCTCGCACGCAGCTTCTCGCACGCAGCTTCTCGTGCGAAGCTTCTCGCACGCAGCCTCTCGCATGCAGTTTCCCTCACGATCGCAATGTACCACAACATAATATATTTTCTCAAATTCTCACATTCTCACGGAACTAACGTACTCTCCTTCCATTTCCCGCATCATTTTCACATTCTCACAACGAAGAAGCTTCTTGTATGTACCCATATATTCTCACATTCGCACAAACGAATAAAATGGATACGCACCACCAATCTGCCAAGGCACCACGCACACTCCTGGAATCACCTCACAATGACTGCAATGAAATGTGGTTGACGTTGCCTGCATCGGTCGCGATTTTGGGAAGTATCTTTCCGGCCTGGGTCGTGACTCTGCACATCGTCCTTCCGCCAGAACCATCGATTCCTTTTCGGGCGTTTGCGCCTTCCCCAACAAGGGCTCCCAATTTCGCGTTTCGCGCTTCGCGAAACGCGAATAACTTCGCGCTCTCGCGCCGCCCCCCAAAGGAAGAAAAGGAGGACGAGGAGGAGGGGCAGAAGGAACGAAGACCGCGAAGCCGCGAAGTGCGAATAACTTCGCGCCCTCGTGGAGTCCTTGCCCAACGACGTCAGCGATGCAGCACCACCCAGCGTCGCGCCATTCCGCCGCGCGTCACCCGAGCCTCTCGGGGGCCAGGCGGGCCGTGTGTCCAGCCCGCTTCCGCTCTGCAGCTGGGCAGACCTTTGTGCCACGTCTTGACGCCCACCTGCTCCGCCGCGGACCTCGCCAGCCCGGCGGAGCGGATGACCCATAGCATCCACTCTTCCTCTGGTTCCCGCTGGATCCCCATTCTGAGTCTGAACGTATCGTTCTGGGCCGAGCTCGGTCTGCGCCCTTTTCGTCTCGAATCGGCACCTGGGCCCCGCAGCCCCAAAAGACACTCCTGGACACACACACACAAGACTCAAAAAGACGGAAATGCTTTTGCAATCGCCCTCGGATCGAATTGAGTAGTACGCCGACCATATACGAGCACTCACTTCCATGCTGGTTTTCCCTTTCAGCGTGAACTGCGTCCCCAAGATCTTGAAACCGTCTGAAGCTGATACTATGGGTAAACTGTGCCAACCAGCATCCACTCGCACGCCCGACTCGTCGCCTTTTTGGTGAAAAGGTACTATGTATATTGAATTTGTCAGCGTTGAGGCGCAGACCTCTTTCTCCGAGCTGCCCGGCCACGCCAGCAAGCATAACTTGCAATGCCTCTTTTGACTTGGCAATCATAGTGGTGTCATCTGCGAACATGACGTGCGTCAGGCGGCAACCCCCGTCCATTTTGGCCACCCTGGATGTGCCCAAAGACTTTGTTTCCCACTTCTCGCAGAGCTCGGCGAACACCTCCCGAGTGACACTGTTGAACAGGAGCGGAAAGATTGAGTCTCCTTGCCGCACGCCTCTCTGAATAGCGAAACGCCTGCTGGCCGTGCTTGGGTCGGCCTGCACGTACGCGCTGGCATCGCAGCGCAGCCGGCGCAAAGCCAACACGATCGCATCTGCTACTCCGGGCTCTTGTAGAGCTTTAAAGATGTCACCGTGGCACACCTGGTCGAAAGCTTTCTCTAGGTCCAGCGAAGCCATGCACACTTCCTCTCCCCACTCCTCTGTTTTCTCTGAAATTGCCCTGAGCGCGCGCACCATTTCTGAACATGAGTAATTGGAACGAAAACCTGCCTGCCCTGGCCCCTGCCTCGCCTTAGGCAGGCGTTTGACCCGGCGAATCAGGATACTCAAAAACATCTTATAGACCACTGGCAGAATGCCTATTGGACGGTCGTTTTTCGGGAGGTTGGCGCCCCCTTCTTGTACCGAGTGACGAGCACGCTGACCAACCAGCTTCGGGGCATCGTCTGCGTGCCCCGCAACAACTCGGTGAACATGCCAGCCACGGTGTTCAACAGTTTTTCGTGGCCCGTCTGCAGCATCTCCGCCACGACCCCGTCGTCGCCGAACGTTTTGCCAAGCCTCACGTGTCTCAGTGCGTCGGCCACCTCCCTGGCCTCCGTCACGACACCCCCGACTCGATGGCGTTCCAGTGCTGCGTACAAGCCCAGGGGAAACTCCGCGAAGGCTTCCGCGACCTCTATAGCTGATCGCCTGCCACTGCTACGATCCTCTGACGCCCCGTTGGGCTCGCAAGTACTTTGCCCAACTATGTTTTGGCGCCTCCGCGCGCCAACATGTGGTCCAGCCTAGCTTCCCGCTCCCCTTCTCTCAACACCTTCCAACATGTTGCCGCCAATCTGGACACTCGTGAACTCTCCTCTGGAGTTTCAGTGCGCTTCCTTTCTTCGATAAACAACTGTAGCTGACGACGTGTCTCTTCGCTTGGGCCTGGCAGACGTTGCTTCACTGATTTTCCGGTTTCCTGGGCCGCTGCCACAACTGCCGATGCTAGGTCCTCCTACGTGCTTGGGAGCCCCTTCGCAAATCCAGCGGTCAGCGCCTCATGGTATTTGGCTGGTTCGTCGCGCTACACAACGATGGTCCGAACCAAAATCAAGCATGTCCTGCACGAGTGCGTCCTTCAGGGCAGGCCTCATGGCGGAGTCGCACATGATGAAATCGATGTACTTCCTGGCGCCTGTGTTCCACATTTGATGCGTCCGACGGGATTCAGCCACAAACCTGCATCAGTGCACCCATCCAGCCAACAAGTCCCCCGGTCATTCCTGTCCCCAGGGCCCCATCTTCCGATCAACTTGGGGTCATCATGCTCGGTCTGACCTCCGAGCACAGCGTGAGAATCCATGTCAGCAAAAACCAGTATTCTCGATTTCCCCGTTGTAGAACGACGATGTCCAGCTCGGCGAGACAGGTCAAGAAATCGTCATCATCGTCGGACCCG